GAAGTCACTGGGATCGTTGCACAGTTCCGCGTTCCGGCGGCGCTGCAGGGCCATGAGCACCGCTCAAATGATCATACTCGCGCGAGCGCGCGCTTCGGACGTTGCATATCCAAATACATGCTCACCTGCACGAGAATCTAACTCTTGGAGGCGCTTATCCAGGGGGGTTCGAACTCTTGGACTCGGACAATTGGTTTGCCGGGAGCAAACGATTAAAAAAATCTAACTTCCGGCCTTAGAGTGCTGCCGTAAGCTGTATCACAGCTGCGACCCAGAATACAGTCATGACATTGCTGCCGTGACACGCATTCGTTTCATGCGATGGGCCGATCACCGGGACTACATTTTGGCCTGGTACACAGCTAGAGCCCACACAAGCACTTTAGCCTTATGGGATATGAAGCCTACAACTCGAAAGTTTGAGGCTCGCGCGCGACGATCATGGCGATGCGACCCCTCGCTCTCACTACACCGCACACATTATGGTCTTTTAGACGATGGGCGCGCGCGCGCAACCCCATGGTCTTCAGACTATGGAGGTAATTTGCCCTCAGCCTGACTCTTGACTAGGGTATGGTAATAATTAGTTAGTAGACCCCCTACTCAAGTAGGCAGCCTAATCTGCGATCGGGCTCTCTGTCCTCAATCGCTGGAGTTAAGTGAGTAGGAAAGAAAAAGGGCCAACGTCATGGAAATCCAGATATGTATCCTTCGTCGCTCGCTATATCCATCCTAAAATCAGACTCTAGATACAAGCACACTGCACTGCCAACCTCAAGCTAAGTCAGATAAGATACCTCAGTCTAGTCTCCCGCCACAAAGCCCCCATACTTGATTCATAACGTCCTCGTTAAAAAGTCAGAAAGAACAAGCTTGGTGGGTGACGCAGAGTAAACTAGGCAACTGTACCGACTGCTGAAATTCATTCACTTCGGCTGTACAATGATGTTTTTCAAGGTCTCCAGATAATCTCTCACGACCAACGCGTCAGGGGCGTTAGCCTGTTCAATGGCCTGTTTGACTCGAGGAATCACCGTGCCATGAGATTCTGCCATACTTTTTAATATTGCATCACATTGGGTCGCATAGTGAAGCCCATACAGTTTTATTTGGTCTTGCCTCTGCGACGTCGTGTCGCTCTGGCGGCTCGATAAATCATCGTACTGATGATTCACGCAGATACTAGATCCATGACATCGTAGATCCTGCATTCTGTCAACGCGCGATTGGATCAATGCATACTCGCAGCGCCAAGGAGTTGAGGAGGTCCAGCCTGTACGATGGCACGGCGCTGTCACTACAGCTTGCGGACACGCAACGCTGCTTCGGTCGATACGCTGCAGACCAGTCTTGGTGCATAGCGCACATGGATGACTCGACCGTATTAGTCCCTTCAGATAAGGTAGCGAGGTATTATACTCCAACGGCGCGGGCTCTGACGACAAACTGGGCTCGCGCCATCATCATCAACAACAAGTCAATTCGGCGCGTCCCAGCTGCGAATTGTAGCAACGATTTGCGCAATGCGTGGGAGCGTCGCTTGATCACGGCACCAGCTGCTCGGTCTCCGTTTGCCGTGATGGATTCGATAATAACTCCAGAGAGACGCTGCGCTTTAGATGACCAGTCGCGCGTAGGCCGGAAACACGCGGACGTAGCGATGCAAGCGGTGATGCTCGGAGGTACCTTGCAGATTGACGGGACTGCATATCGTGCCCTCGCTGATCTGGATGCTCGAGTCATTAGCATCATCACGTCTCGCTTCGATGAGAGCATTTCAAACGAAAGCCGATATTGCGTGGAAGAAATGGTAGACTCGGTGAGAGTCAATTACAAGAAGGCAGTGGCTCGGTCTATTGTTGAGTACGAGCTGCTTGGGCACAATCCTCATGGCGATTCGTCTTTGGTTTTTGGCAGGGTAGTGCATAGAAGGAGACCTTCTTCCCCTTCGAATGACAACAGATTCACATCGACAAATTTCAACCATGGTGATCACTGGAGGCCCGTCTCCTTCAGAGCGTTCGAAATCAGCCCGTGGACTAACATGGAGTTCCAACTATCTACCTGGCAAGTGCAGCGGCAGACTGGCGTATCGCGAAGGTATTTGCAATTTGCGTATGAAGAACTGGAAGCGAAGCTGTGTGTTATTGAGAAGGTCCAGGTGGATCTTCAGTATCTTTGGCTGGTTGGGATGCGCCCACTGACTTATAACCACAAGACGCGCGATGGTCAAGATAACAAAATGCAGGTTTCCAACACTTTTTTATGCGAGAAAGCAAGTAAAAGGCTCGCGGCATATCTCCGTGCTCGGCAAGGCAGCGTGCCTGCCAGCCCACGACATTCTTACTGTGAGGTTCTGCTTACTGATGTTGGATCATCTGAATTTTGCACTCGTCTACCCTTGACCCTAGACGCATTTAGTGCACACATCTCTGCCCGCGCTGCATCTGCGGTGGAATTACTCCGAACTCGCTGGCTCTCGGATGCATCTGCATTGTTAAACAAATCCGCCAGTGGTTTGGGGAATTCAAAGAAAAGTTTGGATTCTAGAGGTGTACTGGAGTGCTCTGAGGGAACCTATCGAGCAATGACCACAGGATATCCTACCACAAGGCCATCAGACGTCGCCCTTGATAAAGCTGTGAAACTTTGCGACAGGATCATGATGCACAGGGCAAAACTGGAATGCGGTTCGGCGCGACAAGTTCGCAGCAGATCTGAAACTTGTTTTGCGGACTCTGCGGATGACTATCTTAATCGTGAAGGTAGCAATCACACAAATTTTACTTGTAATGCTGCTGCAGTGCTGATGTCAAGACAACTCCGCGTATTATGTGAAAGGTCATTGCGAGCATTCGCTGCATTTTTTCGTTCATTTGGTCTTGATACATCGAGCGGGATTTCCGTGTTTCAGCTCAGCTTGTACTTAAAACAAATACAACGGGAGAATATTACTCCAAAAGACTCGCCCCGTGATATCGTAAGACTCGTACCTTCGCTCATTGATCTCCAAACTCAAGCAGACGCGGCAATAAGCTGTCTGGTGACATCTGCTGCAGGACTGCCACATCCAAGCTTGGAATGGACTTGGCAGAGCTCTTCACAAAAATGGAAAAGAAGACCCTGGGCCTGTGGACTCGCTCTTGACGACGATTTGGTATCTGAAACCCGTGAAGACGTTCGATCAGCTCTCGCTCAAAACTTTCAAGGGCCACTTAAGATAGTTGGCAGCTTTGCTCCATTCCGTAAACTACTTGACGGAACTGTGGATGTGGAAGTGCGCTCAGAGGTGGTCGCCCGTGCGAGGAAGGGCGGGGACACGACCGGATCTCTCGACCAACTGGCACGTCTGTGTTCGCGGCTTGCGGAACTCGGAGAGTCTGTGCGGGGGACAACTGCCAATGTCGTACACGAACCTCTGTTCTCCGTTGCTAGTGTCAATTGTAAAGCAGAGTTGATACAAATAACTGACTCCCTCCGCTGCCTCGTCGCAGATTCGGTTGCGAATGATAATCACTCGCACATGGTATCGATATGTCAAGAATATAGTGAGGTTGTGGAACAGCTACAAGTAGAACCTGTAGACTGCAATGAGCTACGTGCGTTACAAGAATATTCGACACGATGTATTGACACACTAACACGCCTCATGGATGAATATTCAGGACAGGTGCACGAACGAGTGCAGTTTCTGCTCTCTCAGACTCAAACTGATTGTGCTCGTTCGAGCCTATCCCGAGATGACGCAGCAATCCTCGTGACTACGTGTCGGTGGCCGGCGGCCGTCAGACAAAGCATGACTCATTCCCATGAGGTCCAACAGACTCGAAAGCGGCATTTGGAAATGCTCGTTGAAGGGCAGCAGGAGGCACTCAGTCGAGAGGCGACAAATCTGGAGAAGCGGATCGAGAAAATCGCAGAAGCTGGATCACTCACGCCATCAGAGGTTCAGGCAATCTACAAGCGCATCGTTGCAGTACAAGAGTCTCTTTCTAGCATGCGAGCTGATGCTAACGACATTGAACGGCAAGAAAAACTGCTGCAGTTGGCCCTGACTGATAACCAGACCCGGCTAAACATCGTTGATAGGGCATTGGCCCCGCTCGCGCAGCTCTGGGGCGTTGTAAAAGAATGGGTCGAAAAGATCAATCACTGGCAGCATGATCCTCTCAGTACAATTGACGCGCAGAACGCAGAACGTTCCACTGTAGAACTGCGAGCCGCTTTGGGAGCTGCTGTACGTGAGCTGGAAGAGCGGGGGGACTCTCGTGCTACGCCTACCCGTGCTGGAAAGCTGCTGCAGCAGGAAGTTAAGATATTTGATGAAGAGCAACTTCCATTACTGCGTCTGGTGTGCCAGCCAGGCATGAAGGAACGACATTGGACGCAGATTAAAAAAAGTACGCGCCTCGAGTCGCTTGAGATAACTGACACCTCAAATTTGTTGCAGATGCTCGATGTTGGCCTGCAGCACTACGCTGGCGTCATTGAAGAGACTTGCGTTGCTGCTGGGCATGAACATGCACTGGAAGAGCAGCTAGAGTACATGGAACGCGCGTGGACCACTGCGGTGTTTGCAGCTGAGGCGTGGCGCGGATTCTACAGGCTCTGTGGTACTGAAGAGGTTCAACAGGTGCGATTGATTATACTAACGATTATACTCGTATGCTCGATTTGATCTTCCATATTTGTCACCTATACTCCATTCCAAAAATGCTTCCTTCTTTTTATGACTTGCGTCTGTCGTCATAGGAATTAGACAATCAAATTCTGCGAACTCAAACAATCCAAGGCAATAAGTATGTACGGCCTCACGCCAAGCGTGCTGCAGGATGGGAAGCAAAGTTGACCAAGCTACAGGAGACCATCGACGAACTACTTGCACTTGAAGCGGCGTGGTTGTACCTTGAGCCAATCTTCAAGACTGGAGATGATGTCGCTCTGCAACTGCCAGCTGAGGCAGTGCTGTTCGATGAGATGGATCAAGTGTGGCGCTCGGCCATCTTTTTTATTCTGGAACACCCTGCCGTTTTGAGTTTATCGGAGCACCCTGCGATGTTAAAGTCCTTGATTGAGGCAAACACAAAACTTGAGCTCGTTCGTAAAGGGCTTGCAGGATATCTTGATGCAAAACGAAATGCGTTTCCGCGCTTTAATTTCATTTCAGACGCAGAGCTGCTAGAAATTCTTGCAAACACAACTGATCCAACGAATGTACAGCCGTATTTACTAAAATGCTTTTCTGGTGTCGCTGGTCTTGTATTTTCGCGAAATTCTGATGATGGTGCAATTGAAATTGTCGCGGCCCTTGACACCACTCCAAAATTCCCCAGCAATGGAGCTTTGCAGACTGGCCTAGAAAATGAGGCTCTAGTAAGCTCAGGCAGTGAACGCCTTGAATTTGCATATTTAGCTCTAAATATAAAACCGATTAGGCCGAGTATGAATAGATGCGACGTCGAATGCTGGCTAGGTGAAGTCGAGGAAGTTTCACGTCGTTCCTTGGCGTTGGCGATTGAAGGTTCGACTAGGGAATTTTTTAATACAACAAGTCACGCCTTAGCGTTGCGTGTGCTTCGCGCGCACGAGTGGCAGGAACAAATGCTTCTTGTTGTGCATCGCGTCGCATGGGCACGAAGCGTTGAAGATGCACTTCGGCGCGCTGCCGTCGCAGCGGCCGAAGTAGAGGAAGCTAGATTGCTCAATAGCCATCGGTTGTCTAGCCATACTCATATCTCCTCTGACACGTTGCTCGACCCAAATGCAGCCCTCAAATCGCTGCTGGTAGCAGAGCAAAGCCAGTTGGAGGAAACAATTAGTGCTGTGCAGACAACTGACATCAATGATGAAGGAGGTACGACATCCCGGGTTCGAGCATCACTTGGCGTGCTGATTGTTCTTGACATCCATCAGCGCGATGTGACGTGTGCATTAGTTGATAGTGGTGCGTCTGATGTTGCTGATTTTCAATGGCTGGTACAGCTACGATATTACTTGAGGAGCAACGAGGGTGCTCACACAAGCATGCCGAGCAAAATCGAAACTCACTGTGTTCATCAATGTCTACCATACGCATATGAGTATCTCGGAGGAGGTGGGAGAAATAAGCTTGCCATTACACCAGTGACCTCACGTTGCTTCCGGGCATTCTTTTGTGCGCTTCGAACTCACGCTGGGTGCACATTTCGATGCATCACTGGCGCCGGCGCCTCAGCGACACTTGTTGGATTCACTCGGGCACTGGCAACCCACACTGTAACATTAAACTGTGTCCCTACCCTAGGATGTGCAACAGTGGCCATGCTGCTACGTGGTGCAGCCACCAGCGGAGCCTGGATATGTCTAGAGGGCTTCAGTCGGCTTCCTCTCGAAGTGATTTCGGTCACCATGGCCAAAGTCAAGGAAAATTTTATATTAGCCCAACGAGAAGCGAGCAATATGTCACCATTCCAAACAGACGGAGCTCTCTTGGGGGCGATGACTCGAACATTTGTGATTGAATGTGACGCCGGCAAAGTCAATGCCAAGTTTACAAGTGAAATACGAGAACTTTTTCGTCCTGTTTCACTAAGCATCCCCGATCCTGTGAATATAGCGGAAATCTTGTTGTGCGCGCACGGTTTGCAACGCATGCAAGCTCATTCGTTGGCCAAGCATATTTCACAAACTCTGGGACTTTGCACCAAGTTATTGTCAGGTCGTGAACCATATTATCAGTTTGGGTTGGGAATGATGTCTATTGTTGTAGCCACTGTCGCCTCCACAATTAGGACGCAGGGCTGTTTTGCGGAAGGTGCTGAAGCTAAGCCCGCTCTGACAGATGCTATTCTCATGCGAGCATTAGCTGACACTATGGAGTCCGAAATTGCCCTGCGAGACAGTGAGCTTTTCAAAAGAATTCTGGGATCAATTTTCGTAGAACTCCCTGCACTGGAACGTGACCTGAGTGAGGAGTTTGTTACGACATTTAGGGAGGCATGTAAGGCGCGAAAACAATTGCCGTTAGACGGCTTCTGCACGAACGTGATGCGTCTCCATGATTCAATTAATTCATGGCCTGGTGCTGCTCTTATTGGTCGCTCGTTTTCCGGGAAGACAAGCACTTGGAAAAATCTCATCACCACCATAGGTCTACTGAAGCCGCAAACCAACGTCGCTGTCGCATCCCTTGTCGCCTATCCAGGTGCTCTAACGCTAGGGGAACTATATGGGACATTTCACCCAGAAAGTCGCGAGTGGACAGATGGCATTTTGTCAGGTTGTTTTCGTGAGGTATCGCAGAGGAGCGTCTGCGATGTTCCAAGAAAGCGCCAATTCCTTGTATTGGATGGTGCTGTCGATGCGTCCTGGACAGAGCAACTGCACGGTGCTCTCGATGACTCCGCCACTCTGTGCTTGACAAATGGCGAATTCATTCACCGGAGTCAAATTTTATCTATTATATTTGAATCCGAGTCTCTACATGCTGCTGCCCCTGCAATGGTGAGTCGAATTAGTGTTGTAAACCTCGCTGATAGTTACATGAAATGGCGGGTGCTTTACGACTCGTGGATCTGCTCGCGCGATGCGCAGGGCGTTGTAGAACCTCAAGGAGATTCGACCTTTGCTGGCGACTCTCAGAAAGTTAACATAATGCCTGCCGCTGAATCGACCAAAAGCGTATACCAACCCGATCTAACAGACCAAAAGGCTTTTCATTTGAGTGAGGAGGAATGTCGACTTCTCGAAGCACTAGCTGAGTGGTTGGTTGAACCAGCCCTTGCTTTTGTGCACCACGAGCTGCACGGTTATGTCGAACCCTTGAGCGATGAGTCGTTGGTCCAGTCGCTGTTGCGACTCCTTGATGGATTGCTCCATATCTGTCTGCGGGGAGCTGCTCCAGCTGCAGGCTCGGCAGATGTCAAGGAAAGGCGCCAACGAAGACAGCACATCGAGTGTGCATTTCTCTGGGCACTTTTGTGGTCGGTGGGTGCATCTGGTCCTGAAACAGCTCAGACACAATTTGGAGTCTTCCTGCGGGATATTATTTCTGACTCTCGAGTCATTCGCACTAGGTATATGACCGTGCACGAGTCACTGACAAGACGGGGTTGGTGTGTTCCTGAGTTCACGGGGGTATTTTCGGGCACTCTTCAGCTCCCGCTTCCTTCGAAAGGGTCTGCACACGACTATGAATATCGGCCAAGAGACAATGAAACTGGAGCATGGAGAATGTGGACGGACGCGCTGCAGGCGGGAGGACAATATTCTGCCCCAGAAATTAGTGGCACCACAGTAATTAGTGAATTACTCGTGCCTACGATCCAGACGGTACAATCTGGACTACTTCTTGATCTAATGATGCGCGCTGGTGGTTACCCTGCACTTTTTTGCGGTCCTCCAGGATCGGGCAAAACTGTACATGCTCGCGCGGCACTTGCACGCTTGCCTCGAAAGAAGCATCGAACTGCATATCTAAAACTTCATGCAACTACCTCAGCTCGATCATTTTCTCACGCGCTACTTGGTCGCCTTGTTAAACGACGCAAGGGTGTATTTGGCCCACCAATAAATCAGAAAGCCGTAGTTTTTGTGGATGATATAAATCTCCCGGATGTTCGAGGACCTGGCAAAACGCAAATGCCACTTGAACTCCTCCGCGGACTAATTGAAAATGGCTCATGGTTTGAAACCCCTGATGCAAAGGCCACCTCTAGTGGTGCCCGAGGGCGGGGCGCATGTCACGATAGTGAAGTGGTGAATACGGGAGTTCAGGTCGATCCCCGCAATACGCCGCTAGGCAAACCAATACTGCAGCGCATTGAAGACACTTCAATATGGGCATCCACTAATGGGCGGGCCGCTGCGAGCGCAAGCGTGCGACTTTTACGCCATTTCACGATCATACATACCTCAGATCCGAGCGACACAACCTTAACACGCGTATATACGGTGCTCGTTGAGTCTCACTTTGCATCCCAGTCTTTCGCATCTGACATTGTGGCGGCTGCTGCAGCTCTCGTCGCAGCAACTATTTGGACGTTGCGAGAAGTTGTGTCAGAGCTACGACCCGCCCCAAACAGACAATTATGCACCTTTGATACTCGTGATTCTGCACGCTGCATACAGGGAGTATTGAGGTGTCGCGCAGATGATGACTTTGACAAGTCTGGCCTTGCTAAGCTTTGGGTACATGAGGTTTTGCGTACTTTTAGTGACAGGCTGTTGGTTTTCGAGGACCAGGAATGGATGGTAACGCACATACAGACTGCACTATTGCGCAGTTTCAAGCTGGATATTGATACACTCATGACAGACCTCAACGAAGCACTACAAAAAGGGCGACCATCGTTGAGGTCTGCCAATGCATCTATTGGATCACGGGAGCTACAACAGCTCATCTTTACTGACTTCCATAACCCCCTTGAGCGTGGCGTTTACCTCGAAGCTCGTGATACAATTCAGTTGTATGATGCTTTAGATCGGGCTCAAGATGAGTTCTGCAGTTCAGAGTCCGTATCTACTACTGATGTAGACGAGGTTTCATCGGGTAAGCTACATGGTAATGCAGATAAGGATGATTTGGTGCGTGGGAACAAACGCATAGTAGTATTTCCGCTGGTAGCAGCTCATATCTCGCGTCTTGTGCGAGCTTTTGGCTCGTCGGGCGGTGGTCACGCTCTGCTTGGTGGTGCCACTGGAACAGGACGACGAGCTGTTGCGCGTCTTGCCGCCCATGTTTCTGGCTGTACGTTGCTCGAGCCACGGCCATACGCGCAGTTTGATTCGCTAGCTTCGTGGCGCAACGAACTGAAGTTGGCCTTGAGGCGTTCAGGTATTGGTGATGTGCCAGTCTGCTTGCTCATTGCTGATACACACGTCTTATCTCTCGAGGAGATCCTTGTCGACATCTGTGACGTTATGGCTACTGGGCAGACTCCGGGTCTTTTTCTCGTGGACGAACGCGCGGAAATTGCGGAAGAGATGCGCTCTCGCATGCGAAGGCAGCGAGGCGCAAAGAATGCAGAAACAATGAGCTCCGATGATCTGTTTTCTTCTTTTTTGGAAAGAGTGCGCATTCGCCTTCATATCGCTCTAGTTCTCTCTTTGGAAAAAGAAAACATTACAAAGGTCAAGCTCATCACGATGTTGCGTCGCTTTCCAGCGCTAGTGTCCAACTTCATGTGTGTTGACCATTATGCCTCTTGGCAGGACAATGCACTGTCTGCCGTCGCTGAGAGCCTTCTTGGTTCGGCCAGGTTTGTGGTTGGAACCGGTCTCGAGATTGAGGGTCCTCAAAAGAGCGGACATGATGCTCCGAACAGCAATAGCAAAGAAGTTTCCGCTCTACCTGGAGCGCGACCTGAGTCTGCGATTGACTTCGCTGAGAGAAGGCTTCATGCTAACGCGGTAGCATTATGCTGCCAGATCCATGCTTCAATTAAATCCGGCCACGACCATCGCACGTATGCGTCAACTTCGACCTTCCTTGAGCTTCTTGAGTGCTTTCGAGATAATGTCAGTCGAGCCCAGGCGACGATTGGGAACGCGCGCGCGTGTTATGGTCGCGCATTGGACGTAGCTCATCATGCTCAAAAGGCAATCGCGACCATTGGTGATGGTATTGCTGCGGCACGGGCCGCACTTGATGCAACCAACTTCGAAGCCGTCGTTTTTGACTCTGAGTTAAGTCACAAAAAGTCGATTTCTGGAGTAGAATCAAAATACGCAGAAGTCGAAGCGGATGCGGAGGCCCTTGTTCACGAAGAAGCAGCAGCGCGGGTTCTTGCAGAGGAATTCGAACGTGAGATTGCTCAGGCCCAACCCGCATTTGACGAAGCCTATGCCGCTCTCGAAGCTTTGTCTGTCGCAGACTTGTCCGAATTGCGAGCTTTGCCACGCCCCCCAATAGGGGCGAAGCCCATTCTTGAGGCTGTTTGCATTCTTCTCGGAGAAAAACCAGTCAAAGTTGCTGACCCCGCCGACCCCACACGACGAGTTTTGGATTTTTGGGGTGCAGCTCAACAGCGGGTGCTGATAGGTGAACCTCCGCAACTGGTGTCTAGGCTACGCGGAGTAGATCATGACAAAATATCAAGCAAGGCCATTTCAAAACTAAAAGATACCTACATAGGACCAGGAGCGACACATGAAGCATCCTTTGTAGAGCCCGATATGCTTGATGGCTTCATAGGCGCGACTGTCTCAAGTGCACTTTGCCGATGGGTTCGCGCGGCAAGCAGTTATGAGCAGACTTCGCGCACTGCGCAACCGAAACGTGATGCGGCAGCACGTGCTCAGTCTGAGCTTGAAAAGTCCCTAGAAGCGCTCGAGCGCAAAAGGAATGAAGTCAACGGTGTTGAGGCTGAATTGGCAGATATTGCTGCTGGACGAGATGCGACTCGTGAGCGCTGTGATGAGCTTCAAGAGACCATCTTGATTAACTCTCGTCGTCTCGAGCGCGCAAAGTCCTTGCTAGATGCTCTTGTGTCGGGTGGGGAGCTGGAGCGGTGGGAGACACTGGCTTGCGAAGCTGATACAAGAGCCCTGTCTCTTGTTGCGGATGCTCTTT